AAGAGCACGCCGCTGGTCGGTTTCAGCAGCGGCTGAATCGAGAGCAGCCGGGGTGCTGCGGGGTTGGTCCCGCAGCCCCAAGGGGCAGCACTATGGGACCAACCGGGCAGTACCCCAGCTACTCTGTCCCAGGTATCCCCAAGAGCAGCTGGAGTGCTGCTGGGTTGGTGCCATAGCGCCGCCCCTCGGCGCTGCGGGACCAACCCGGCAGCACCCCAGCTGCTCTATTGCAGCCATCCCCGATTCAGCTGCTGCTGAAACTGACCAGCAGCGGCTGAATCAGGGACGCCTGGGGCAGAGCGAGACTATCGTAAGGGGGGGCTATGAGAGGTCTGGGGTGGCATCTCCTCCCACCCCACTCCAGACCCCTCATAGCCCCCCCTTCTGATAGTCCGGCATATCTGATAATCCGGCACCCCCTGGGTCCTAAAGGTGCCCGATTATCGGAAGTTTACTGTAATTGTCAATGAAACTTTGATTTTGGGAGAAAGGGTCTCAGAAAACTGGAAGAGAAATACATTTTGTTGGAAGTTGGATTTATTTTTGCATAGCTCAAGTCCTATGTATCCTTGTTTTTGAATCTTAAAATCAGTCTAATATTTTTTTAGTATATTCCAGTTCTTGATCACAAATTAACTCTAAAAAACCCTAAATCTTTGTACTGTGAATGGCTCACTAATGAGATAAAGGGATACTGGAAGTGCCTTTCACTTCTAAGTCACAAATTCAGATTTGCCCCAGTTTGGTAATGGCTGAAAACTATTACCGTATGATGGCTCTTCAGAAGTCTATATGAAATGATTTTATGTTTCCAGTCCAGTTTTTAGTGGCTAGAGACCCAAACTGCAAAGCCACCATCACAGTTGGCTCTCATTAACATGTATGTTGACAGTCTCAACAGTAGAGAGGCCAACAGTCCATTACAATTAAATTACCCTCCAATGCATTATGAAGAAGCCTGCAATGCTGCTGTCTGTCCTATATTTTGTTAGGGATAGACAGAGATCTTCTGCCTCCCAACTGTCAGACTAACATTTTTCAAGATCAATAAAATTCATGGGGCAAACAAGAATTGAACTCTTTCATTTACTAGCCTAAATGTTCTCTGTAGCTTCCAGGATACCTTTTTTTTTAAAAAGGATGACAGCTACATTATTCATATCCTTTAAGAACTACGAGACATTCACAACTACTAAGCGTAGTAAAGGAAATTAGAGTCGAAGTTCATTACACTCACTTTGTAAATGTCCACTGTCACACTTTAGGTGACCTGTATCTTAGTCTAAAGAGGAGTCAATCTGTGGAGACACCTTTAAAGTAACATGCCTGCTCTTGTGGAATCTATCCTTCGGCAAGATTTTGACATCAAGAGAAAGGTCTGGGTTCATTATCTAGGGCCTTTTAGCTAATGCCAGCTTGAGTCACCATCCAGAAACCTAGGAAATTACATTTACTACCATAGGTGTCCCCTCCAGTTGCCAGGAGAACTGAGTTTGGGACTACTATTAAAGCCTGCCACAGGGTTGGAATCTTGCCTCAAATAATTTGATTTATTATTTCTGGCTTTTCCAAATTTATTCTATCTAGCCCGCTTTCTCTCCCTACTAAAGTTATCTTTGTTTTAACCCTTAAGTGCCTGCAAGTTGGGAAGTATATTGCTGTTGGTACCATGTGGCTGGTACATTCTACCCATGTCACTCCTCTCCCATTCCCCTCCTCCTCAATTAGTTGACCAGATGTGGAAATGTCCAAGAATGCTGGCAGACCAGGGTTGCCTGGACTACACTGGAGACTCTACCATCTAACCCAGCTAGAATATTTCAGCTTTAACTGAATGGCAGGGCGGGCCACACCAGTGTCTCTTGGGTAGGCTGCTCTTGTCTCTGCAGTCTTGGCCCGAACTACCTCATCTCTGCCCCATCTATCACTTTGAAAGTGCCTTGGCTACTCTGCATTATCTGTTGCCTCAGAGCTGCCACCACGGGACAGTACCATCAGAGAGAAACAGGTTAAAACCACAGACCTCTATACATACTATCTCATCTAAGCCTTAGCCTTGCAAATTTAGAAAGTCACAGTTGTCCCAGGCACTCCCTAGCACTGAGGTTGGTGAGTAGATCTGCATCCCTACAGTTGCTGCTTCCCTCTGACAGACTCTGTCACTATCTCCACCTCTGCATTCCCCTGGCCATTTTTATCCATTTCAAAGCTCCTTTGTCTGTCCTGGGTCACTCCAACTTGGGGTATCCAGTTTATGTATCTCATCCCCAATTTCCAGCAGTGGTTTTGCTGTTTTTGTCCATTTGAATACCAGCAATTGAGTTAGAGTCATTGTCTTCTTGGAGATGTGAAAAACCACTCATGATTGAGTAAATTCCCCCCCCCCCCCCCATCGGCA